TTTCTTTTTGCTGACCCTCTACCGGCTTGGCGGGGGGGGCTGCTGAGGAGTCAATTCCGACTCATAGTGATCCTGTATCGGGTTTCTGAGGCTGTAAATCTTTACGGGAGCCATAAGCTTTGTGGACTAGAAATGCTGACCTTGAGGTTAATAGCCCACTACACTACCAAGGAGCTCTGGTGGTAGCGTAGTGGTTACGAATTGGGATGCGAGCTGCAAAGTCAGCAGTTCGAAACTACCAGCTTTTCGGCGGGAGAAAGATGAGGTTTTCTGCTCCTGTAAAGATTTATAGAGTTGGAAACCCTGTACAGGGTCGCTATTGAGTCGGAACCGACTCCATGGCACATAACAACAACAACACGCTACCAAGGCCCTAAATATTTACAGCTTGAGATGCTTCTTCCTTCTCTACTCCTTCTTGCAGCAAAGACCTGGGAAGGAAAAGATGCTTCTCATCTGTCAACATCTTCTTGTTGTTGTTGTTAAGTGCCGTCGAGTCGGTTCCAATCCATAGCGACCCTGTATAGGGTTTCTGAGGAGCAACTGGTGATCTTGAACCACCGACCTTGCAGTTCAAATGGCTTTGCAGTCTGGCGCATTAACCCACAGCACCACACCAGGAGGTCAATCAACATCTTAGGGACAGCTAAAATCCTACTCCTAGAGAAGAGCCTGAAAATGAGGGTGGTAATTGGGGAACTGAACTGTCATGCATCTTCCTGCTGATTTGTCCTCTGAACCAGGCCTTTCCTGTTCAGTCATGACCAACAAAGTGAAACTGGAACTGACCCAAACTTGTAAAATGTGGGTGAACCAGAATGGTAATGAAGTGGGAAAAATTACAGGTCAGGGTCCTACTAGAAACATAATCTCCCTCTTAGGAAACAAGGGCAGTGTGCATGTTGCATAGCAACCAAACTGCTTGACAGGTAGAGTCTGAAACAACAGTGCCCTACTCAAAAATGGTAGCACACTATGCCGCTTGGAACGTAGGCAGCTCTCCACAGGCCTGGCAGTGATCCACGCTCCGAGTCTCCCATGTCAGAACTCTGACCCTTACGTTTTCCTGTTGTGCTTATCAATCTGCTTCGCCTAATTTTTTAAAAGTGTGGGTCTGTTCTGATTTTACTCCACTGGCCATGACTGAACCAGTTCAAACCAGTTTGAAACCCTGTTTGGCTTCAGTCAATTCTGTTAGGAGATGGGACCAAGTAGATATCTACTCCATCCATTAGTGAGGAATATGAATCAAACTGACTAGAGCTTTTATCGGAAAATGAAAACTGCAAGAGGATATAGGGGGGTACAGGCTGAGAGTAGTACGTACTTGCAGTCTCTGAGAAGCATTCGGGCTCCACCACATACTAGGTGCCTTGGGAAAGTTCCTCCACCTTCTGTATCTCAGTGTCTATATCTGTAAAATGGAAATCATAATAGTACTTACCTCACAGGATAATTAAGAGAATTCAAAGAGTTCATATATGCACATCACTTACAAGAGCGGTTAACACAATACCCTCTATGGAAGTGTTAACTATTAGCACTGCCTATGATTTCAGATATTTGTGAACCAGAGCAGTTTCCTTCCTTTCTCAGAACCAATTACAATCAAAATGGCTACTGTTTACTTAACATCTCCAAAGTGCCTGTCATGGATTGAATCGTGGCTCCCCAAAATACATGTCAAGCACAAGAATGCCCAATCTTGCAGGTGGTGCCCATTTGGCCTAGCTTTGGTGGCTTGGTGACCAAAGCACAACTAGAGAAGAGTAAAGAAATTTGATAGAGGAAGCAAGTGTAAATTGCTAGTTTGATGAACTTGACCTATACTTATGAATGTAGTAGCTCAAGGTACCAGCTGAGAGGGAAGGAGTCTTCACATCATGGATCAAGTCTATCCCCTCGGTATACAGAGTTGGTAGGGATGGACAACTTGAATGTTGGCTGCCTAAAATGGGGGGCAGCTGTGAAAACACAAAGTGGCTGGCTTGCAAGTTTTCAAGGGGGAGTTTCATTTCAGAGTGTGCGGGGAAGATAGAATCCCCATTGAATAGTTTTCATCTTGTCTAGCTGTTGTCATGACTAATTGTGATTGTCACAACTGTAAAGGTAGAAGTTTTGTAACATAAAGGAGGGAGTGGTTAATCTTACATTCCAGGAATCGAGGGCCCTAGGACCATCAAAGGAGAAGAGCATGAGCAGGATGTGGGACTCTATCCAGAGAAGCAGTGACACCAGAGATGGAGGCAGAGATGAGGACATGGAGAGAGAGAGCAGCTGACAACTCTAGACTCATGGAAAGAGAAAGACTGAGTGTTGGCGGCCAGGAGGCAGGCTTGCAGAATGTGCCCTTAGGTTGTTTAAATATTCCCCAGTGTTATTGTGTACATCAAAACCAAAAACCCAGAAGGAATAGAAGCAAATACTGTTAAATGAACGTCCATGGAGGGGATTGTGGTTGTTGCAGTGAAGCAATATACTGTAGGATAAGTGCAGGAACAATGTTCTCCCATGTAGGCTATCACTCGATTAACAGCAAAAGCTTTGAAAACACAAAAAAACATGTCAACTTGGCTGGGCCATGATTCCCAGTGACTTGGAAGTTATATAACTTGGCAGTTTTGTAATGATGTAATCAATCCCCTATGATGTGATCTGATGTGACCTGCTAATCAGTTTTAAGGGGATTAGGGTGGAATGTAACACCCTTACTCAGGTCATGGCCCATGACACAATAGAAGGGAAGTTTCCCTGGATTGTGGCCTCTCTCACTTTTTTCAGGAGTCCTGGTGTGCTGCTATAGCGCTAACTGCAAGGTCAGTGTTTCAGACCCACCAGTTGCTCCTCGGAAACCCTATACAGGATTGCTATGAGTTGAACTGACTTGACTGCTCTTAACAACCACAAGAGATAGATGGAAAGAGATTTGAGCAGAGGAGGAACCAGACTACCAAGACAGAAGAGCCAGGAGTAGAAAGTGTCCTTTGAGCCCAGGATCCCTGTTCTGAGAACCTCCTAGATCCAGGGAAAGATGGAGGCCAAGACACATGCAGATCTCCAAGGAACACCTGGCTCACAGCTGGTGAAAGGAGACAAGGACGCAGCAAAAGCATTCTAACCTCCTAAACTGTAAGAGAATAAACTTTTTATAGCCGCCCTAGACAACTAAGATAGTGCTCCAGTTCTGTACTAAAGCCTTTTATCTCAATTATTTCATTAGAGGTAAAGATTAATTATTCCTATTTAACAGACTGCTGGTGTAGGGCTGGAGGATCAGCACTGGACTTTGAACCACAAGATCCCCAGTTTAAATCCACCAGCTGCTCCTCGGAAACCCTATACAGGGTCGCTATGAGTCAGAACCAACTCCACAGCACTTAACAACAACATTTAATAGACAAGGAAATTAAGGATCAGAGAAATTAAATGTTTACACAGCTGGCTAGAGGCAGTGCTAGATATACAATCCAAGAAGGTCTGATTACAATACTTATACTCTTGACCACCACACTTGTTGCCTCCCACAAACTTGTTACCACGCTTGTAAAATAGTGGGAAAGTTGCTTGCTTTTATCTGAGTTGTTTGGAGATCGCAGTAATAGAATGGAAGAGGCAGCGCTCTAGGGGTGTGTACAGACTGCTGTTCCCTGAAAGGGAGACCTGTGTGGCGCTGGGGGTTAGTTAATGCGCCAGACTGCAAAGCTGTTTGAACTGCAAGGTTGGCGGTTCAAGCTCACCAGCCGCTCCTCGGAAACCCTCTACAGGGTTGCTAAGGGTCAGAACCGACTCGCCGGCACTTAACAACAACAATCCCCGTGCACATGCCTTCCGCTCCTTCTCTGCTTGTTGAGCTCATTTCTCAAGACTCAGATTAGCCATCACTCAATGTAGGTGGATTTTAGTCTAACACTGCAGGGACTGAAGCAGGGATGGTACACAAGACGACTGACTGCTATGTTGGAATGTCGTGCGGCAGGGCCAGAGTGAGTACAGAAAAACCAGATAGGCTATATGGGAGCCTAAGCAAGAGAGGGCAGTGGAAATGGACTAGAAAAGCTGGACTGAAAAGAGAATTGACGACAGGAAATGGATATGTCTTTTAACGTGGACAGTGAGGGAGAAGGCGGTGCCAAGGATGACTCCTAGTCCTGCCTTGTTAGTGGATATTTGTTGAATTAAAATTATTGAGTGACCCCACTGCAGACATCTCAGACGGACACCCCATGCCCCACCGCCGATTTGCGAGCTCCAGTGTTAGGGGACGAAGGAAGAGACTCGGCAGTCTCACCCTGGCGCTGCCAGATTGGAAGACTAATGGCACTGGTCTAAAACCAGGAGGCGCTGCGAGCTCGTCCTGTCCTTCCACCCCTCCAGTACGGAGGTGCAGCTCCCCGTTAGCCCGGTGGCAGAGTTGGCTCCTGGCCGGCGTCTGGGGGCGCGGCGCAGAGCGCCCGGGTATTCTGTCCCCTCCCCGCCCCAAGCAAGGCCTGGCCCGCCCGCCTGCCCTGGGCGCCCACCCCGCCCAGTGCATTGGAAGGCTGGGCGGCGGCTCTGTCCAGTCCCGGAGCCAGAAACTAGGTCTGTCGGGTGAGTCCCAGGGCTGGGGTTCTCAGCTGCAGTGCACCTGCCCAGATGGGGTACTGGGTCAGTCCCTCTCCCCTCCCCAGCGTGCGCCTCCACGAGAGGTGCGCGCGGAAGCCGGGCCAGTGAGACGGAGAGGCCGGGAGGCAGGACTGCCCAGGAGCCGAAGCGCAGCAAGTGTGCGTGGGTCCAGCGCTCTCGCGGGTCTCCGCAGCGGGCGGCACGGGTGGGCGTAGCGAGCGTTGCCGAGCGCAGGCGTCCGTGTGAGGGCGGGGTGCGGAGCCGGCCGGGGAGGAGGAGGATGCGTGCGGGAACTTTCTGCCCGCCAGGGAGGGAAGTGCGCGGAGAACGAGCCGGCAGAGCCGCTCCGGGCGGGGGCCGCCTCCCCTCCCCCCCTTCCGCCTCCCGCCGCCTCCGCGTCCCTGCTCCCAGGGCCCGGCCGTCCCGGGGGAGTCCGGCGGCGCCCCACCCGCCGGCGCGGCCCGCTCCCACGCCCCCGCCGTCGTCTGACCGACGCGGACACACTGAGGCAGGGGCGCAGGCGCTGCAGGTAGGACTCGGCGGCGGTGGAGACACAGGTGAGCGGGAGGGCCGGGGAAGGGGCAGAGTGGAGCGGCCCGGGGACTCCCGCCCCACGGACGCGCTGGCCCTTTTTAGGGAATTCTCTCGCTCGCGCTTACGCGCTTACTCCGGTGCGGGTGGGGCTGAGACCCGGGGAGCGCTCCATTCTTTTGGCTCGCAGCCGGCCCTGGCGGCCCCCAACCGAAAATCCCTCCACCACCTTCCCAACACCTTCTGTGCGTAAACAACTCCCCTCCTCCAGCACTGGGCTTTGCGGTGCCCCCCGGGGCAGCACCTAGGATCTCGTGAGTCCTGTGCAGCTAGGGGGAGGGGAGGAAGAGGGGGCTCTTCAGACACCCCACACACACACCCGTGTTGGCGTCCCTTGGTCCCCTCCCCCAACTCGCCCCCGTTGCTAGCTCAGACTGCCCCAGGGGCCCTGAGTATTTTTAGCGTGGTGACCTGGGCGGCAGCTCTCCAAGCCTTTCCCAGGAATCGGCGTCACCTCCTCTCTTCTCCACTGCCCGGCCCGCTTGTGGCCACATGGTCTCCCCACACTTCCTTGGCCCTGCCTGACCTGTCCCCAGCGCCTGTGGAGCTGGCCAGGGTCGCTGAAACGCGGAGCCCAGATGTGGGGTGGGGAAGGTGGCCTACTGAGGATGTGGGTCTGGTCCTCAAGCTAGAAACGCCCGCTGCAGCTGCCTGGGGAAACACTCCGAACAGAATCCTGGAATGAGATTGAGCGAATGGGAGTGAGCAGATAGGGCCTGGGCTGGTCCCGAGCTCTGGTGTTCTGTAAAACTCTCGGCAGTGTAGCCAGGGTCTGAATTGGACCTAGGGTCTGCCCTTCCAATTGCTACTGAGTCGTGGGAGATAAGACAGCGCCGAGATGTGTCGGGAGGAGAGGCAAATAAAGAACCGTGGGAGTTGCAGGAAAGAGAGGGGACCTCTGAGTGGACTGTGCATCCCAGCTTCCCATTTTCCTCAGCACAAGCAGCGCTTGTATTACAGGCAGGTAGGATGACAAGGCCATTTTCAGATGGGGAGACTGAGGCTAGAAAGAGGATTTCCCTAGGGCAGAGCCAAGTCTGGACTTGTGACTTCACATGTCTTGTGACTTCAGAGCAAGGACTCAGAGTGGGTGTTGTTGTTGGAGTGTGTGTAGGAGGAGAAGGGTTAGGGCTGCTTTCGCTGTGGAGCTTTGACTATGAACTGTGTGACCAGAGATGCAGAGGTAGAGAAGACGACCCTCCACCCCAGAAGAGATCTCCCCCCACACTCATCTCTGGCTTGGGTCAGGGAAAGGGAGAGGTGGGGCTGAGTCCATGAAGTGGAGAAAATGCTGCCCCCATTTGGACGGACTGGCCATGCCCACCCCTCTCAGAGGGGCACGACACTGGGACCACTGGCCACTTCCCCGGTACACAGAAGAGCCTCTTCTACCGTGCCTGGAACTGGTGTCCCCTTTGTGAAGATAGCCCCGCCTCTGCCTGAGATGGGAAGTTTGCAGTGGGATGGGCGTGGTTTCAGGGGAAGGCAAGGCATTAGCTGAGCCCAGAGGATTCAAGAAGGCTGTTAGGATGCTGGCTGCAGTGTGGCTCCTGAAGCCCAGACCCCCACTGCATTCTCTCTTGACTTGTCTCTTGTGTTGCTTTTCCACCCTCCAGGAGCTAACATGGACCCAAATCCTCACGCAGCCCTGGAGCGCCAGCAGCTCCGCCTTCGGGAGCGGCAGAAATTCTTTGAGGATATTTTACAGCCAGAAACAGAGTTCGTCTTCCCCCTGTCCCACCTGCATCTTGAGTCACGGAGACGTAAGTCCCAAGTTCTGAGGAGAGGAGGGTACTGGGCCTGGAACGGGGTGGAAAGAATTTCTTGTGGGTCTGGAATCTTGGGGCAGGGACCCCTCCCCCTCTTGCTTTCTTGGCCCTCTAAACTTCTCTTGGGATGGGCAGGTATCTTAATCATCCACTGCCCTGGAGCCTCCTGACCTGCCTGGTTCTTGATATGCAGCTCCCATAGGTAGCATCTCATCCATGGAAGTGAACGTGGACACACTGGAGCAGGTGGAACTTATTGACCTTGGGGATCAGGATGGAGCAGATGTCTTCTTGCCTTGTGAAGATTCTCCACCAACCCCCCAGACGTCTGGTATGCCTTGTGCCCTGGAGATGTGGGCACCAGTTAGCCAGAGCTGGATGGTGTGTGGGGGGAGGGGGGGTGGCTCTGAAATGAGTCTGAGCTTGGAAAGTTCCTCTGCAGGCTGATGTGGGTGTCTCCCTTGCTCAGACTTGCTCAGGTTTTAGGGAAGTGGAGCCTGAGGGGAACTGGGTCACAGATTTCCAATCCAGACTAGGACTCTCCAGCCTCTGCCTTTGTTAATGTTACGCTTGTAAAACTAATGTTTGTTGTTCTTCAGTACCTTCTAGTTGGTCCCGACTCATTTCGACCCTGTATAGGGTTTCCAAAGCTATAAATCTTTGTAGGAGCAGAAAGCCTCAGCTTTCTTCTGAGGAGCGGCTGGTGGGTTTGAACTGCTGACCCTGTGGTTCACCATTCAGTACTTATCCTACACAGCCACCATGGTCCCCAAAACTAACGTGATGAGCTAATTATTTAATGTAATTCAAATAATGTAAAAATGTAATTTATACATTAGAAAAATTAAGCAATTCTAATTGTAGTGTGGTACTGTGGGTTAATGCACTGGACTGCAAAGTCAGTTTAAGCTGCAAGGTCAGTGTTTCAAGCCTTCCAGCCACTCCTTGGAAACCTATACAGGGTCGCTATGGGTTGGAAGAGACTTGATGACACTTACCAACATCACCAATTGTAGTAATTGTATTCATATTTACTGGGCACTTACTAAATTCCTGATGCTGTACTAAAGTATATATATTAATCTCAGTCTTCACAGTGTTCTGTCAGGGTAGTTGTTACAAAGTGCTGTCGAGTCATTTCAGACTCATAGCAGCCCTGTATAGAGTTTCTAAGGAGTGGCTTATGGGTTTGAACTGCCAACCTTGTGTTTAGCAGTCCAGTGCTTATCTTATAGCAGTATTGTCTCCATTTTATAAAGGAGGAAACAAGGCTTAGAGAAGCTTAAGTCTTGTAGCTGGAAAGTAGAACAGACCACACCATGTCTGCCTGCTTCTAAGATAGATAGTCTCCCGTAAAACAGCTACTCATTATTGCTAGCCAGCCATTTTATAAGCATTCTTAGATTTCATCCTCAAAACCCTACTCGGATATGAAGGGACTTCATAAAGTTCATGGAAAAATGGAATGAAAAGATTATGGAATTTTCCACAAAGTTTTTGAAGCCCCCTCATGTAATTTCTTTTACAGAGGAGGACTAGAGTCCTTCAGAGGGGAAGTGACTTTCCCAAAGCCACTTAGCACCAAGTGAGTGATGTAGGTTAAATTTGAACTCTGACTGATTGGCTGACCTCAGAGTCCAGACACAGCGTAGTGAAGTGGAAGAAGCTAGGAATCTGGAGGCTAAGGTCTTCATCCTGGCTCTTTGCTGGATTGGCTAAGTGACTTTGGACAAGTCCCTCCCTGCCTCTCTGTGGGCCTCAGTTTATCTATCTACAAAATGAAAAGGCTGGCCAGATAATCTCTGAGTCCTCTGAGTGCTCCTGCTTCTGAAGCCCTGTCTGTGGCCCTGACTACCTTCTCTCTGGGCAGGAGTGGATGACCATCCGGAGGAACTGAACCTGTCAGTGTCCGCATTTGACAGGACCACATCGCGGAGCTCCTCCTCATCCTCTGATTCCTCCACCAATCTGCACAGCCCAAATCCGAGTGACGGCGGCGCAGACACACCCTTGGCACAGTCCGATGGGGAGGACGATGGGGGTGATGGAGAGGCAGAGCCTGGGGTCTGCAGCTAGCAGTGGGTCCGTGCCTACGCAGCGGGGCGGTAGAGACTGACTGATGGAGCTCAGTGTGGCCGTTCTCCAGCCTGAGCCCTTGGGGAGACCAGACTCTGTACTTAGGCACCCAAGGGAAGGAGTGGTGGTGGGTGCACCTCTTTGGAAATGAATCCATCCCTGCTTTACTGCTAACCCTTTCCTGCAGTAGCCCTTTCACCAGTTACCCCTGAAGTAGGGCTGACAAGTGAGGAGGAGATGGAGGATGCAATAGGACAAGATGTCACTGCTGTTTTTAGTAACAGTCCTCCCTCCCTCCAACTATCCTGCTTAATAGGTTCCCCTCAAGCATTGTCTCTAAGTGAATGGGAACTCCTTAGTACCTAGTGCATGGGACTGCAGCCATCCTGCCTCCTGACAGCCTTCTGGGAACGGCACGGTATGAGTAATAAACAAACGGAAAGATAGGAAACCCACTATGCTGCTTCAGCTCCCTAACCAATGCCATATCCCGTCACTCATTTACTCAAAAAATATTTATTTAATGCCTACTGTGTACAAGGCATCTGGAGTCCAGTTTTGAACAAGACAGGGTGTGTCCCCGCCTTCATGGAGCTTACTGTCTATGGAGGAGAAAATCAAGTAAGTACTGTAATCCACAGTGTAATTGTGGCATGGCTCTTACCAGAGAACAGGGGCGTCTTAGCTTCGTCTGTGTGGTCATTGACAAGCTGATTTTAAACCTCAGGTCTGAAGAATGAGGAGCTAAGCGGGCACCATAATTTGGGCAGAAAGACTTTACAACCATGTCTAGCATCTCTGATGTGATTGATTTGAACAGAGTAGGTACCTCAGTGGTTAGAAGCTCAGCTGTTGGACTGGAAGGGCACCAGCCGTTCCATAGGAGCTCGATGTGGCAGTTGCTTCTGTGAAGGTTGGCAGCCTTGGAAACCCTGGGAGGCTGTTCACTCTGTCCTGCAGTGGTGATGTGAGTCAGTAGTGGGTTAGTACGAGATGAAGGGAGAGGTAAGCCTGACTTGACTGCTAGTTAAAGGGACTGGGGAGGATCACTGACGTAGGGTAGAAATGTGTTTTCTCATATGTAAGTTGGAAGATAGGCAGGCAGTACAGGGCTATGTGGCAGCCCCACAGTAATTGGCACACAGGTTCCATTTTAACTAGTTTTGCTCAGCCATGCAGGGCACAGAGCTGGCATTCTCATAGATACCTCATGGCTTTTGGAGTCCCAGCCATGTCCTTGAACCTGGCACAAAGTGGAAGAGATTAAGGGTGGGCAAAATGGACACAGCCAGCTATCTGCCTATGTAACTCTGGGATGTTCTAACTAATACCACCCACTTTTGTATCATTGGTCAGAACCCATCAGGTGTTTCTTTTGCATACATTTTTTAGACATAGGGACTTAGCATTATCTAAGACAGGGCTGGGGAACCATTTTTTGGCCAAAATTTGTAACATCATTCGTGGGCCATACAATATGACCAATTTTAAAACTATCCCATTATATTTGATCAAACATTTAAGTAACTCACCCCTAATGTGATGGCTGGAGTACTGGGGTGGTGCTGTGGGTTAATGCGCTGGACTGCAAAGTCAGTTTGAACCGTAAGGTTGGCAGTTGAAATTCACCAGTCGCTCCTAGGAAATCCTATACAGGGTTGTTGTTATGGGTCAGACTGACTTGACAGCACTTAACAACAATAACTGTGATGGCTGGAACTGTGGTTGCCTTGGCAGGGCCATGCCAAATAATTTCACGGGCCTGGCATTCCCACCCCTGATGTAGGCAAAAGAAAATTTTGACTTTTGTAAGGATAGTAATCCTTCCAGGTCACAGAATTACCAGTTTGTCTGATTTCTGTTGTTGTTCAATGCCATTTGAGTTGATTCTGACTCAGGGTTTTCAAGGAGTAGCTGGTGTATTTGAACCACCAACCTTTCAAATGTCACTACTGGGGAAGCCGGGAAATGGGGGGCACACTGTTGTCTTGGTGGAATCAGGGTTCTGTTGCTAAAGAACAATAGTACAGTAGTCATTGGGCAGGCAACTGGCAGTTTACATGTTAAAGGCAATGTTAAGGAACTTGAACTTGATTGAAAATAATGAAGACTTACCAGTGGTTGGATTTGCTTATTAAAAAGGGAATTCTGATTATAATGTAGAGACAAACAAGTGACAGTAACCCTTGCAAGAGAAATGGTGGCCCAAAAGAGAGTCGCGATGATTACTTCACTGGGTCAAGGCGGGGTACAGACAAACAAATGACATTATTCATCAGTAAATAAATGTCCATGCAAGATACTGAGCATGGTCGTGGGGTACAGTGGTGAGCAAAAAAAGACATAGTCCCTGCTTTTATGGAGTTTACAGTCTAGTGGGAACAACTATCATGTGGTGCTTTAGGATAAGCACTGGACTGTTATCCACAAGGTTGGTGGTTCAAACCCAGCAGTTACTCCTTGGAAACCCTATATAGAGTCACTATTAGTTGGAACCGACTCGACAGCACTTCACAACAGGGAGTTAATAGCTTACTCAGGTAGCCAGATGTTTCCCTTAAGGAAGTGGCATTGGAGCTGAGATTTGAAGGATGATGTTATGGATTGAATTTTGTCCCCCTAAAACATAAATTCTAACCTCTGCCTGTGATTGTAATTCCATTTTAAAATGGGTTGGCTTTATGATGTTAATGGACAGGATTAGTGTAGGGCACATACTGAGTCAGTCTCTTTTGAAATATAAAAGAGATGAAACTAACTAGCAAGCAGAGAAGAGGCATGAGAGCTGCCCCGCACATGGATTATCTAGGAGTAGACGCTCCGATGAGACATGGACCTTCCTCTAGAACTAACAGCCTCCTAAGCTGAGAGAGGCTACATTTGTCGCAGCCATCCACTTGGGGCATTTCTGTTATAACAGCACCAGAGAACTATGAATTTGAAACAGAGAAGTGGGGTGCCCCTTTCACAGATACCTAAAATATGGAAGAGTTTTAAGGTGCCTAATAGAAAAAGCATGCAGTCCTGATGTGGCACTGGAGGATGAGCAGTAGACTCAAATGTTGATTTGAACCACAAGGTCGGTGGTTCAACTCTACTAGCTGCTCCTTGTGGAAACCCTACACAGGGTCACTATGAGTCGGCACTGACTCAACCACACTTAACAACAATAGCAACAGCTTCTATTGTCTTGAAGAGAGATTTAGTAGAATTCTGGATGCCAAAGGCAATTCCAGTGATTGCTCAGAAGGATGTAAAGAGAGCTGTAGAGAAAGTCTCTGCCATGGCGCCAGCAGCAGAAGTTGCTAGAAAGAATGTTAAATGTGCCTCTGATGAGGCTTTAAAAGGAAATGATGAACATGCGATTAGACACGGGAGGAAGCGTGATGTATCTTAGGCAGTGGCAGAGAACTTGTCTCAATTATGTCCAAGTGTTTGACGGGAAGTAGAGACTATAAGGAATGAACTTGGATATTTTTGGTTGATGAGATTTCTGAGCAAGATCTTAAAGGGGCTTTGTATTTTCTCCTTACTGCTTATAGTAAAATGTAAGTGAAAAGAAATGGACTTGAAACTGAGCTATGCAAAATGAAAATAGAACTTAAAAGATTTGACAAGCCCTTGTGGGCCCAAGCGTTGTTGACCGTCCAAACCATAGGCTCTGAGGATCAGACTTTAGCTACCTAGTAGACATAGCAAACTGTCCCTCATCTGATTATTCAGTAATGCTTGTTAGTAATCTCATACATGAGCCCTGGATATCCACAAACAAATGTAAAAACCTTCCCTAAAAGCCGAGACTGTAATTCCAAAAAGGCAAGTCCCCCCACATCCAAAAAAAAAAGCTAAAGAGGATAGAGAGAAACACTGTTAACTGATGATATATGGAGGGGATAATAATCAAGTGTAATGAAACAAGCTATATGAATGGTTGAATGTGAAGCTGATGATGTGCCCTGTAAACTTTCACTCAATCCAAAATAAAAACATTTAATTTAAAAAAAAAAAAGATTTGAAAGGTTCTTTTGTATAAACTAAGGACACCTGCCCTAGAATGTTCACCAACGTCTTGGCTACACAATCTTCTTGTAAAGAGATTAAGCCTGTGACTGATGGAGCTAACCAACTACCTCAGCAGAAAACCCATCAGCTTAGATATCACATAGAAGGAATGGTGTGTGCATCATGGAATCCTACAGGCAGGAAACAGGTCAGAGAAAGGGACCATCCTGGAACAATTCAGAAATCTGCAAAACTGTTGGAAGGAGATTGGAAAGCAAGGGCTTTTCAGCTTCAGAGGATGCGGCCGTGATCTCTGGAATCTCAGAAGGGCCACAGCCTCCTGTGTTTCAAAGAGTTGGATCTTTGCCAATTTGGTTCTGGAGTATGGGCTGCTGTTATGGTAACCACTGGCATATGGCACCGCAGTTCAGAGCTGACGGGGTGGGGCTGCCCAAAGTCTAGGGGACCAATTTGCCATCCCAGAAGGCTTAGAAGGCAGAGTTGAAGCAGAGGGGTCCTCCACCTAGAACCCAGAGGATGGGGCCGTTATCCAAATAGGCTCAGAAAATGGGGTTCTTTTCAAGTTGTGAGAGAGCGAATGTAATGTGTTCTGCTGGCTTTTGGACTTGTTCGGTGCTATCCCTTCTTTCCTTCCAATGTCCGCATTTATGATGGAAATACCTACCTTGTGCCTGTTCAACCCATGTACTGTGGAAACTTATAGTTTAGGTTTCACAGGTTTACAGGTGAAGAGGAAATTTGCCCCAGGATAGAATAAACTGAAACTCTCACCCATATTTGATTCGAATGATTCAGAAGATGAGATTTTGGACTTGTAGTTGATTTAAAATTTTTGAGAAGTGGTGGGGTCAATGTGTTTTGCATGTGGCAAGGGCATGAATTTGGGGGTGCAAAGGATGGAATGTTAGGGATTGAGTTATGTCCCCCCTATATATGTGTTGTAAATCCTAACTCTGTGCCTCTGGTTGTAATCCCAT